AACCTACAGATGAGCAGCCAGGTAAAATTATTCTGACAGATGGAGCTGTGGGTGCAGAGGTGCAGAGCAGTGACTCATACAGAGGGCAGCAAGTAGATTGGTATAACTTGTTTGTAGGGCAAGGATGGGAATGGAGGGAGGAGGTTTCTGTGGTAACCAGTAGTAACCATAAAGAGCTTCACATGTCGTGTTAAAGCTCTTACATGAAGTGGGAGAGAAAGAGGCGTCCAGAATAACTTCAGCCTTTTGACTTGGGTGACTGCAGGGAAAGGGGTCCTGTTGACCAGCATAGACAAGCAGATTGAATGGGGAGACAAGAATAGTGAGGACCACGGACGGAGCCTGTGAGAAGAACAAGTGAGATATCTCTAGGGACACGTAGATACATAATCGTACAGGTCAGGACTGGAGGGAGAGATTTAGGAGTACTCATATGAAGATGATCAAGGAAGTGAGGAAGGTTATATGACCCAAGAAAGGGAAGAGGCCCAAAGATAGAACTCAAAAATTTGCTTAAATGGCAAGGAAGAAATAGAGCCTCCCAAGAAGGCTGACAAGGAATAAGTGAGATGGAGAGGGAAGACCAGGACAAAGTGGAGCTCTGGGAATCAAAGAAGAGGCTAGTTTCAAAAAGGCAGGGGTAACCTTGGTCAGAGACAGCTTGAAGGTCAAGTAAGTAATAGATGAACATTGTCCATTGGCTCAAACAATTTGGAGATGGCTGCTGAATTTGGCAAGAGTGGATTCCATGGAATGGTGTGTAGAACCTGGGCAGCAATGTTTGGGAAAAAGTGAGGTGGCACAGAGGAGCCACGATGAATGTACACAGGTCTTCAGGCAGCATGGCTGGGAAGAAGAATACAGTTCAGTAGCTGGTGAGAAATGGGTCAAAGGGACAGCTCCAGGGAGGGATCTGGACACACTGAAAACATTGAGAAGAGCGCTGCATTGAAGAACTGCGTGCAAACCTTACTTACATTTACACTATGTAGTAGGTGCGGCAGCATCCTGGTTTGAATATAACAATGGGACATTAGCAACAGGGAAAGTGTGATGAAGACAGAAGGCACCATTGACCACGAGAAGAAAATAAGCAGGAGAGAAAAGAGATTTGTTCTGTGTGGCATAGATTTCTCCTGTCTCTAATTTTCAGTTAACGTCTTCCCCATAGAACTTTGATGTTTTTCTGTTCTTCCTTACTTGGACCCTCTCCAACACCTAAGAGGCTTCACACTCATTTCTGTGTTGTGATTAGTCCTACAAAGCAGCCTCCTTCAAGGGGTGATGAAAGGCCCCAGCATTAACACCCTGAAATCTCACAGCAATCACCAGAGTCTCAAGATGCTCCTGTCTGAAAGCAAGGAGGTGAGAGAGAAGATTGCAAGGAACAGGGAGGTCGGGTGGGGTGGAGGAGAAAGGGAAAGGAGGCAGAGGAGGGGAGAGAAAAAGCAAGAGGGATGGGAAAAGTCAAGATGAACTAGAGGGGAGAATGATCAGGAGGAGAGAGAAGGAAGGCAGACAGAGGAGAAAGAGGGAAGAGGATGGAGAGAGGATAAGAGAAGAGAAAAATCACTTGAGACTAGAGGGGAAAAGGATGATGAGGATAGAATAAAGGAGAAAAAAGGAAGGAAAGAAGACAGAAGGGAGGAGAGACAGACAAGGTATGGTTATTCCTCGTCTGTTTTAAGAAATACCATCTTAGCTGAATGCAGTGGTGTATGCCTATAATCCCAGCAACTTCAGAAACTGAGGCAGGAGGATTGCAAATTTAAGGCCAGCCTAGGAAACAGTGAGACCCTGTCTCAAAATAAAAAATAAAAGGGCTAGAGATGTAGCTTAGTGGTTTAATATAGCTTAGCTGGGTTCAATCCTCCAGGGGAAAGAAATGTCATTTTATTTTACTCAGGTATTTCTTTTTGTTTGCTCAACAAACATTTACGGATATCCAATCTTGGCCAGGTTGTGTCTTCACCCATCCACATAGACAGGAGACTCAGGGCGAGGCTCTAGCACTCATTCCCAGCAGCAAGGATCAGTGAGGGTAGCAAGACTAAGACCCCAAGAGAACATCTCACCAGCCCCTGGGGGACCACACAAGCTTCCATCAGGGGCACTGTCTTTTACAAGAGTTGAAGGATATGTAGGAATTATCAGACACCGGGCAGGCTATGAGGGAGTTAAGAAGCCACTGATACCGAGCGAGGCAGACATCAGGGTTAACCAAGTGTAGACAAAAGACAAGAAAACCGATTCAGATAGAAGAGTAAATAGGGACTAAATTAAAAATGGTCCATGCCCATGTCAAGGATTTGAGGTTCATCTCAACGTCTACAAGGATTTTAAATAGGGAGGTATAGTAAATATTTTTATATTTTAAAAATATCGTTCTGGAAAAAAACAGACTTCAAACAAATATTGAACTCTGATTAATGATATGCATGAGTGGATTATTTAGAAAGAGGTATATTGATGTTTGCCATTCCCTTTGAAGTGCAAATAAGATTGATTGCTCAACCTCCACCAAAGATGGATGGTTAGTTCAACAGATAATAAAGAAAGTAAAATGGTAAGGGTAAAATCAAAGTGGTAGTTATGTGGGTATTCATTGTCAAATTCTCTCAACTTTCCTTGTGCTTGAAAACTTTCATAATAAAATACTGGGAAATTAGATCATTCTGGCTATTCCATGGATAAAGCTGTGGGAAGGAGCAAGGGAGCCAGTTAGAAGGTTGTTGCAGTCACTGAGGGAAGAACTGATCATAACCTGACAGAGGGCAAGCAACAAAAGGGACGAAAGAACTTGGCTTCAGAAAATTATCAACAGTTCTGGCATTTAGATGGACATAGAGGGAAGAAAGAAATAAGAATAAATATCACCCCTATTTTACTGCCCTCGCTACAAACTAATTAAGAGCTCAAACATGGATGGTCACTGATTTGGGGGGGGTAAGAAGGATTCATAAGGCTAAAATGTCTGAGTCACCAATAAACCCTCAGCCGACCTCTGACTTCAAATCTGCAGGAGATTTCTGATGTTGATTCTTTGCTGTCTTAGTCTGTTCTTGAACTCAGTGGACTTCAGCCCAGTAGGTGACCTCATGATGGGAAAGGAAAGAGAGTCATCACTGCCCGGTATCCCCCAGGGTCCCAAATCAGAGTGGGGGTGGAATGGCTCCATCCATTCTACCCTCTCAACACATCAGAATACCCTGAACAGTGCTGTGCCTCTTCCCTTGGCTATCTAAATGTCGTTTTGCTGTTGTTGTTTTTGTTGTACAATGAAATTGTTTTGGATCGACTGCTTCAAATGGCTCCATCCACAGCCAGCTCTGATTTATCAGCTTTCAGTCAGGAAACAGATTTCTTTGGAAAACTCAGTCACAATAAGGCAAAATGAGCTTTGCTCAAGGGCTTCAAACTGCCTCTCTAGGGAGCAGATGCCGCTGGCCAGCCTCGTGGTTCTGAAAGGCAGCCTCCTCCTCCTCCCTCCACCTGCATCTGCGCTGGCTGTAATTTCAGCTCATTTCCTACAGCTTTGTCCTAGAGACTGCTAGCGAGTTCTTCCTGTCCTTCTTCCCTCCATCTGAAGGACAGTTTTCCACTTCAGTAATTACTTTTGTGACTCATTTCTGGATTCTTGTCCTTGCCACATCCACAGCCATTTTAAGCTTAATATTCAACCTCAAATCTTTTACTCTTCAAGGTTTAGCACTCCCTGAATATTTGTGAGGAGCTGAACAGATGTGAGTACCTGCTTCTGCCCTCTCCAGTGGGTGCCCTGAGAAGAGACCCATGCTGCAGAAATGCTGTTACCATTTGCTTTCTGATCCCAAGGAGGAGACTCCCAGATGTGCTTATGGCAGGATATAGATGTTGGGTTGGTAATCATCGCTGTCCCCCCAGAAAATCATACACACCTCCCAACACACACATCCACAATCTGATTATGGCATCTAACTTTTTAAAAAGCAGATATGAGACCTAGATAGTACTACTGTTTTGGCACTACCTCCAGCTGGGCCTTAGGCATCAGATATGAAATCACAATCCCTGAGTTCAGAGCCTACCTCTGCCACACTCCCTAGCTGAGCCTCAGTTTCCCCACATCTAGAATGGGGAGGATGTTGAGGCTAGAGGTGGTGGCAAGTGGTAAGCCAGACTGTGTACAGATGGCACCAGCCCTGTGCCTGGTCCTCATTATTGCTCAGTAGTTGGGCTGTGATAACCCAGATGTGGAAAATGTCATTTTCCAACATGATGATTAACACGTTTTGCACATCGTCTGTGTGGTTCAACAACAGACTGTGCTCTATTTTCTTTAGTTAAAAATGCTGCCAGTGTTTTGTTTTCATTTCCTATTTACCAATAAAACTTCAGTGACTTTGCTTACTTCTCCTTTGGAGAGGGAACATAGAAATGAGCAAAAATATGGGCTCCATTTCCGATGGAGCACTCTGAGAATATTTCACAGGCCAACAGTCCCTGTGTGCCAATGGAGGCCATTGTGTGGGTTGTGAGGAATGTTTTGTGTTTGTTTTGGCTTTGGTCGTACATTTAAACTCTCAGTCCTCAATCCCGCACCCCATTTCTTCATCCTGTGTGCTGAGGGGTCTGCTCTCCAGCAGGAGTCTGTGAGAGGACACTGTTGCTCAGTCCACAGGTAAGAGAGCTGAGGAGGGGCATGTAGAACTGCAGAACAGCACAGGGGAGAGGGATTGAGAGGTAGTGGGAGGGAGAGAGCTTCAGAGAATCGAAGAATTAAAACCAATAAGACTTACTCTGTGCCAGGGGCTATGCCAAGTCCTTTTCATGAACTTTCTTTTTCCCAGCAGTCATGTTTTAATAGCTCCCTTTATATATGGGAAAACTGGTACTTAGAGTGTTTAAGTAGTTTTCTCAAAGTCATCCAGCTGGTGAGAGGTAAGCTGGACCTGGTCCTCTCCCACGCAGGATGTTGCTTCTTAGAGGAAGTGGAGCTGGGAAACTCAGAGGCCCGCAGAAGGGCAGAAGAGGCTGCTCAGTTGGAGACACCTGCAATTCTGCTGCTGCACCTGGATCTTGTAGAACTGGACCAGGAAATAAATGGGCGAGGGGTGGAGTTCCCCTTGGCCTTCTCACAGCTCAGGGGTGGGACGAGCAACTGGCAGGCTCCTGCATTGAAAGTGAGTATGAAGAGAGTGCTCTCTTCACTTTACATTGGCTCTTTAAAAATCCTTGGTGGGGCTGGGGTCATAGCTCAGGGGTAGAGCGCTTACCTCCCAGGTGTGAGTCACTGGGTTCAATTCTCAGCACCGCATATAAATAAGTAAATAAAATAAAGGTCCATCAACAACTAAAACATTAAAAAAAAAAAAACCTTGGTGGCCAAGTTTGAGCTTAGCATTGGTGCTGTGGAGAGAGCAGCCTAAGGTTTAGATTTGAGGGTAGGCTCTGGAGGTAGGAGTGAGGCCCTAAACTCAGGCCAGTTTTTAGTTTCATTATCATGGGTCCAGGGTAGGCTCCTACCAGGCCTGGGGACAAGAAAGGAGAGAGTCCTGGAATGTGAAGACAGTACAGAACCAATTGCTTGGTTCTGTATTGTACTGGCAATTCAATCATCTAATTGCTAAGTAAAAGGGACTTAGCAATTAAGTGCTTGAATTGCCAGTACAATACAGAACCAAGTTGGAAATACAGTGCTCAATAAACACCAAGATGATGAAGCCATCTTCCTGTCCTGAGGCTTGAGCTTGGGCTTGGCTGCAGAAGGTTCCTCAAGTCCTCATCCTGGGCATACACCCCATGTCTGGCTCTCCAGCCTTATACTCAGGATGGGTTTGAGATGGGTTGATGTTGGTAGAAGCAGAACCTCTGTTCTAAGGAAAAGACTCTAGCTAGAGGCATTCAGGGAGAAGGCAAGGTGCTCTGAGAATCTACCCCTCCTAGGGACTGAAGTTAGGGCTGATACTTGATAGGGTAAGGCCTGCATTGGCTACACTGTCCCATCCCACCATGCCCTTTGGTTCCATGGAGATTCTAGTAATTGAGCATTTGTTTGATTACTCAGCCAGCATTTGGGGGTTGGCTGTGGTCCAATTTCAAAGCTCTAAATTCCCAGCCCATATGTCAGAGTTAGAAAGGCTGACTCCAAGTGGAGGAGGGATGGGGAGAGTTCCTGCAGGAAAGGCTGAAACCATGCTCCCCAGCCTACCCCTTAGGGTTGGGCTTGTCTCTCTCCTTTATTGGACTGCATCAATACAATGGTTGGGGTTGGTATCAGACCACAAAGGATTATTCCTTCTGCTCTGACATTCTATAATGTTACCCCAGAGGGTCTTAGGAGCAGTCAGTAATTCAGCCACTTGAGGGAGGCTTGGAGTCTGTACTCTTCAGTGCCTGACAGGTGAAGGAAGTGGAGTGGGTTGTCCTATTCATTGTATGAGCATCATGAGTTTCCTCTCTGCATCAGGTCATGGCACAGTGGTGGCAACTTCTGCTAGGATTGTGGACAGTCATGCCCACCTGGGCTGGAGACACGCTACTCAATGTTTGCATGAATGCCCAACACCACAAGAGAGAGCCTGGCCCAGAAGACGAGCTCTATGTAGAGGTATAAAGTCCAGACTTGGCCCAGGGGTGATAGAGGGCAGATCATGGAAGAAACACAAATGCCAAGATGGTCTCTGGATCCCAACCAATCCAGATCATTTATTTCCTTAGTTTGAAAGTGATCTCAAGTTCCCATTTCTGAGCTGCACTGGCCACTTGGGGAATGGCTCAGATGGTGATCCAAGAGGCCCAGAGCTGGTTCAGCACAGGTCAAAACAAGCCTTCCTACCAACAGGTCCTGGGGAAACATGACTTAATGGTTCCCTCCCCAAACTCTTAAAGCCAATTCACAGGGATGCGGGAGGAGGAGCAGAGCTGGCATTTAGCCTGTGAGTCCCTCTGAATCAATGCAACCTTGAGTCTCTGAGGTCTCCTCTCTATTTGCTTTTCCCCTAAGACCTCTGCTGCCCTCTCAGAAACTGAAAACCCCAGAAGTCATATTCCAGAGGACTATAGCAGCTACTGCAGCAGCCTGGGGTTGGGAGGTCTGTGTGCAGGGGCCTTCTGCCCTATAGGTGAATATTGAAGATATTAAGGTTCCTCCTCCGTGGGGATTGCTGGCCTCAAGCTACCCCAGTTGCTCAGGCTTTCTCCTAAGGTGCATTTTTACTCTGCCACCTTCTGCCCTAGACACTTACCCACCCTGCCTCTTATTCTCCATGCCTGTTACTTCTTCCTCTACTTTCAGTGTATCCCCTGGAAGGACAATGCCTGCTGCACAGCCACCACAAGCTGGGAAGCCCACCTTGAGGTGTCCCCACTCCACAACTTCACCTTGGTTCACTGTGGATTGTTGACCCCAAGCTGTCAGAAACACTTCATCCAGGCCATCTGCTTCTATCAGTGTTCCCCTAACCTGGGGCCCTGGATCCAGCTGGTGAGGAAATAGATGATAAATTCATATGGCACCTTGTTACTAAGAGCTGGAGCTTCCCTTCGGTAATATGATGGTATCTCCAGGAGACTGGTAGAAGCAGGAAATGTTGTGTCCCTGTGAACAGAGGAGAGCCAGAGGCCTCTGTTGGAGAAAGGTGTGAAGAGGAAGCTGCCTCTGACTCTGAAGGATGGCATGGGGGAGGCTGGTCAGATAACAGAAGGATAGGGACTATCACCAAGGGAGGCTTGGTGAATTAGACGGACCTGAGTTTGAATTCCATCTTCTCTACCTACTAGCTGTCCGCCTAGGATAAGGCACTTAGCCTCATTGTTCTCATTTGTAAAAATAATAGTACTCAGAGAGTTTACAAGGGAGGATGTACAGTTGGAATAAGTACCTGGCACAAGTACCATTATACTATTAGTAGGCTTCAAATTGCTGCTATTCATGTTCCTGTCTCTCACTATGCCTGCACCCAGGTGGGGCCCAGTGGGCAGGGAGAACGCATCGTGGGGGTGCCACTGTGCCGGGAAGACTGTGAGGAGTGGTGGGCAGACTGCCGCACTTCTTATACCTGCAAATCCAACTGGTACAGCAGCTGGCACTGGAGTCAGGGTGAGTGGCACTGACAGGGCCCCATAGGAAGGCAGACCCATTGGGGGTTCTCCAACCTGGGTGCAGATGCAAACCTCCCCGTGTCTCCCCTACCCCAGGGTAAATGATGGGGACATGGGGAAACAGTGGGAAGTAAGCTGTCTACCTCAACCCACCACAGGAAAGAACCGCTGCCCTGCAGAGGACATCTGTCACCCTTTCCCCCATTACTTCCCCACCCCAACTGACCTGTGTGAGAAGATTTGGAGAAACTCCTTCAATGCAAGCCCTGAGCACAGGAACAGTGGGAGATGTCTCCAGAAGTGGTTTGAGCCTGCTCAGGGCAACCCCAACGTGGCTGTGACCCGCCTCTTGGCTAATACTGCCCCAACCCGGGAGCTTGCCTATGTCCCCATTCCCTTCTCTCTATTCCTGCTCTTCCTTTCCTGAGGACCCTTCTTTCCCCCACCCACATTCCTGGCTCCCACTGGCAGTGACCAGGCCAAGGCCGTCTCCTTCCTCAGGCCATTCACTAAAAGGAGCAGAAGTGGCAGCAGCTGGTGTCTGAACCCTGCACACTGGGTCCCAGGCACTCTACGCTGCTCTGCTGTGCTCTGCCTAAGCTGGCCTGGGAAACAGCTGGGGTGGGAACTGTTAAGGTGACCCATCCCCTCCTGCCCACAAGAATAAGGGCTGTGATGGGACCCTATGCCCTTCTGGTCCTGCCCATGTCCACCCTTTCCATGGCAGAGCTGATGGTGACAGTCTGGCCTCCCATCCTACCATGGTGCCTCCAATAAAATAGCAACTGACTTCTCCTCTCTGTGTCACTCTGCCAGAGCCCACAGGCATGGACCCACGATGCACAAAGAGCTGGTTTGCCTGTTGCACTGAAGTCTCAACATTAGACTGTTACTTAGCTGGGTATTATTCATTTCTTAGTATCTGCTACCTATCCTCTCAAGGCCTCTGATGGGAATATTCTCCACACCGCTCCCCCCTTTTTTAACAAGTGATACACCATACCAAAGACTCAAACCAAGGTGAGGGGTGGGGCTCCCAGACCATCAACTCTACTGTGGACACCAAAATTGAGGCAGTTACCTCAACTGCATTGAGAGTTCCCCCTTCCTTCAACCCCTTCCCCCCACCATCGCAGTACACTAGTCTGGAGTTTGGGAAACTCAAGCTCTAACCTGGCCTTCCCACTCTCTATAAGACTTTTAGCAGCTCTTTTGACCTTCCTTTAAGAAGGTCTTGATTTTTTTTTTAAAATCTGCTGAGAGGAATGAGGTAGTTGGCCCAGATGAATTAATGAAGGAAGGAAGGGTGGGTGAGCCAGGGTCCTTGTTGGGATATGATTTGTTTCTCAGGCAGGGCCACACATCTACAGAATGAGACGGGCATCAGAATTGAATTGGAGAAGGGGCACTGACTTCAAGTCCTTCTGTGAGTGGATCGGAAGTCAATCCACCCACTAGAAACCTTCTGGAGTCCGAAACCCCATGCCTTCCAGTGCTACAGGGTGCCTTTCCCATGACCCTTTCTGCAACAGAAGGTTTTAGCATTTGAGTTGGCTGGCTTTTCTTTTCAAGTGCTTATCTTGCCAAACACTAGTATTCTGCTCATCAAACAAATTTTGCCTCCATTTTTTTCTGCACCTACCTTGAATTTGCTCATTCACTGAGCAAACCTTGACATAGGTAGAGCATTATAATCACAAAACCAAGTCTGATGCTCAGGGTGTGGAGTAGGAGATAGATGGCAGCAATGGAGACAAGGCCATTCACATCAAGTCTGTGAGAAAGGAACCAGGTCAGAATCCTGATGGCCTCACAGTTGGTGAGGTTTGAGCTCTGTGGTGGAGGGCAGTTCACTGACAACAGAAAGGAAATGCTGATCCAAACTCAGCTGGCTAACCTTTGTGAACTAAAGTCAGTATAGCATAGCGATGTATGCATACCCATGTTTATAGCACTGCAATTCACAATAGCCAAGTTATAGAACCAGCCTAGGTGCCTATTGGCAAACAAACAGGGAGAGGGAGAAGAGAAGAAAACTGGGAAGTACCTGGGACTGAAAGGAGTAAACTTTGACCAGGTGCAATGGTGCACACCTGTAATGCAAGCAGCTCAGGAGGCTGAGGCAGGAGGGTCACAAGTTCAAAGCCAGTCTCAGCAAAAGTGAAGTGCTAAGCAACTCAGTCAGACCTTGTCTCTAAATAAAAATACAAAATAGGGCTGGGGATGTGTCTCAGTGGTAGAGTGACCCTGAATTCAATCCCTAATACCCACCCACCAGCAAAAAAGGAGCAAACTTTTTTACATGCACTTATGAATATGTAAAAATGAATCCAACTATTATGTGTAGCTCTATTGTACTAATGCAAACATTTTTTAAAAACACAGGCAAGGCCCCAAGTTACTTCAATAAATTGTGGCTTCAAAAATACATATAGGCAACATCATTTCAAAATTGAGAACTGGAAGAACTATCTGAGGTGGTAATAGAGCTGAGAGTTTATTGACTTTCTAAAGTGTTTTAGGCATTAAAAAGTAGCAAAAGTAGACTTAAAGCTGGGTTGAACACAAGGCTAGTTCTGCGAGCCCTAATAACTGTTAGTATTTACTGATCATTTACTATGTGCCCAGGGGCCCTGCTAAGTGTGTGGCATGTACTAGGTAGTTCATTTGATCCCCATTAAAGCCTTGACAAATATTCTTATCCCCATTTTTGCAATTAGAACATAACTAAGTTTTAAACCAGCTAAGTCTGACCCCCCACATCTCCAGCTCCTAGGCTTATATTGAATAGCCTGGTAGGTAGTTAAGTGGTCCTGAAGCAGATGTGAGGAGGGAGGGAGGGCTGGGTCCCCCTTGGAGAGGTCATGGTTAAGAGAGTCTGTGTTCTACCCTTTAATGTGATTGGGAGGAGACATAGGAAGATATTACATCCATAAAACCAGGAACAGCCGAGTAAACTGTCAGATTTTCAGTTAGATTATCTATTGCCATCGGAGTGATCCGTGTACACGGTCCTTTGACACACAGGTCAAGGACTTCTAACACCCACGCCTCACTCCAGGGCCCCAACACACTAACCATTTCTGAATTCAGTTACAAAGAAGTTACAAAAAGAGGCTTATCTTTTCTGCCACACATTCAGACCATCTTTTGGCTTTCTATTCTGTTAAACTTGCAACCTTTTTAATTTTAGTAATCCACTTTTAATTTCCAGGAGGATTTTTTTATTCCGCTTGTTTTTCACAGCCTGCTGTTTTTCGGTTTTGTGGATGCAATATCTTCTCAAGTCTCACCGAAGATCTAATTAAAATTTTTTTCAAAAACTTGTTTCTAGTCTCTGAATGATATGTTTTCTCCAAGATCACCCTGCTCTATTCTTTGATCTTCTGCCATGGCTGCTGGGTTTCTCAAGGATGGTGACTTTGGCTGTCTGTCCATATTCAAGAACAAGGGGCTCAGTTGACTCTTGTAGCTCACTTGGTTTGTTCCATGGTTGAATATATGGGTCTCCTTACCCCTCCATTGCACAGCTGCTGGGGGTCCTGGATTCGTGGGGAGGGTTTGGTGACCAGAAGACTTTACTTCAAAGGGTGGAATAAATGAAGACAACTCCAACGGGAACAAGCAGAAGCTATTTATTCAGAGCATGCTTTATGTGTATAAGGGAGTCAGCCACCCTCACATGCATCCTGGCAAATCACAAGCAGGTAGAGAAGTGGGCAAACTTCAGAGTGGGAAAGAAGGAAGGCTTCAAGTTTTCCCTGATTGGAGACTGTTGTCAACAATGCTAGATGTGGGCTGAAGCAGGGTATCCCAGGTGATCAGGCTGGCTTTCTCCTGTTGGTCCTAAGCCGGAAGTATAAATAACAACCAGGGAAGATGGAAGTAATTAATCAAATCCTTGCTGTTCAGGGCTGATTATTACAGGGGTTGTTGTATAGGTCCCTGAGCTACTTGCTAGAGAGAGTGATCTGACTTTCTACAAGTCTAACTTACAGATAGTGTAATTTTGTGTGGGCTGATTTCTGGGCTTGTTACTATAGATAATGGGCTAGAGATCTGTTTTTATAATTAGTCTGGCCATCATCTTTTATACTCAGTCTCTCCAAACTGAGTTGGTAGGATCTATATTGCCAGAATGAGGATGGTTCTCTCTAGAATGCTAAAACCCACAATGTGAACTTAGCACTATCCAGAATTTCCTTTAATTTTTTTTAGAGAAGAGCTCCTCCATGTAAGTTCCCCTATCCATATGCTAATATTGGGCTACCTGACCTCTGATTTGACCAGAGGAATGGAGGTGAGTCTAAGTGCAGACTTTCCCTCTCTGCTCCCCATGCCTGCCAGCAATAAGCCCAGACCCTCCAAGGTTCTACTGCAAGATCATTTTCCTCCACTATAGCTGCCTCCTCCACTTTCTCTGGTCTCCCCTATTCCATTTGATGTGTCTCATGCTTTTCATCTTTTAAATATTTGTTTAAATCTCTTTGCTCAGGTGGTTTTCTTCACACACTCTTGGTAAAGGAATACTTGAAAATAAACAACCATTTTAGTGGGATCCCAGGTATCGGTTCCACCCTCTGTGTCCTGCAACTGCAGATTTTCTAAAAAGATCCAAGTGTTGTGTAAAAGAAAAAAAATAAATAAAAGAGAGTGAAATGGAAGACAAGGGGAATGAGGGCATTGTGTAGGATGGATTTTCAGGAGAGAGATCAGAAATGCAGGTTCCGGGCACCCAATTAGAGTGAATTTCTAGGAGGTAGGAAGCCATGCTACAGTACAGGCAGTAGACCAGAAGGGGCAGATTCAAGAACTATTAGGAAGACAGAACCTATAGAAGTTTAGATCATATTTTTGCATGAAGTGTCACAAAGACAGGTGTAAGATGGAGTGTGGGAAAGAGAACTATCACCAAGGCCAATAGCCTTGGATAACTCAACTCCCAAAGCTTGCAATTCTAGGGGGATCTTTCCCTACCCTAAACTGCACTGGGTCTTAGGTAGAAGGGGAGGTGCTCCTACTGGATGCAACCCAATCACTTTTCCATGATGAGAACACCCAACCCTATTCAAGCCCTGCCTCAGAAATTGCTGGGAAATCCTAGATGGCAGATAAAAAAAAGCAAAAACAAATGTTAGAGTCTCTTGTGTATGCTATTCTTACTTTAAGATCCCTACCCCTTCCTGAGTCCAGAAGAGGTCCTACCTGGCACGCATGCACAGGGATCATGTCCCATACACCTCACTGTCTGCACACCCTTCCTGTGCCTCCTCCACCTCGACCCTGCTCACTCTTTCCCCTACAGAAATGACTGCTTTCTGAGGTGCTTCCCAATGTCCCAGTGCTTTTGCTGTTGAAGTACCCAGGTTTAGATACTATTCTGGGATTCCCAGCTGTATCTTTCACATCAGATCGTTTTCCCAGCTCCAGTCCTTGAGATGTCTTGACTGCCCAGCCCCCTCATGTACTCCAAAGGGGCCCTCTTCCTGCTAATACCACCAGTTCCATATTTTTCATTTTCCCTCCTTCCTTGTGTTCTACTCACATTTATCCTGATTTACTTTCCCATATAACCAAAAACCACTTTAGGAGTGTTTTTGCCATAAGTGAAACAAATAGAAAGAAAGAAAAGAGGGAAGGCTTCCCAGGGAGGAGGGGCTGATGATGGGCCTTGAGAGGCTGGTGGGACATTGTCATTGAGATGTCCATCAGACAGTTGACCTGCAGTGCAGAATAGAGGTCTAAGCTAGAAGTAAGAATCCAGAGCTCAATTTCCTTGGGAAGTGCTTT